TTTGCACTAGTCAACAAAAGAAGCTCAAAAATTTAAAGGAGGAGCTAGGTAGTTCACAAGAAGCATACAAGAATTTGCTTGAACAATATGAAAACTTTGCAAATCTCAAGGTTGAACTATCTACTAAAATTGAGCAACTTGAGGCTAGTGTAACAACAAATGAATGCACAATCAATGATAAGCAACTTGAAAAGAAAAATTAAAAATTAAAGAAAAATTAGCTAGCTCACAAGAAGCATATAATGTTTTGCTTGCAAAAATGGAAACCATGTACAAACATTGTGATGAACTAACTAATAAAGTTGCTAATCTTGAAGCCGTTAGCAAAAATTCCCCCAAGGCATCTAAAAAGAAAAGTTCTATCATTAAAAAGGATGTCTCTACTTCTTGCAATGATTTATGTTTAGACTCACCATTGTGCAACCAAGTTTGTGTTGAGAAAGTTATTGTAGATACATGCACATAAGAAGTTGCAAAGGAAAATGAGCAACTCAAGCAAGAAGTAACTCGCCTCACCAAGGACTTGACATAAGTGAAAGGAAAGGCGAAGCAAACACAACTTCATCAAGATAACACCACCAAGGGAGTGAAGAAGCTTGATGAAGGACAAACCGTGGTTTGCTACGTGTGCCACAAGGAAGGCCACAAGTCCTATGAGTGCAAGGTGAAGAATGGGGGAAGAGCAAAGAAGAAGGAGCAAAAGCAAACAAGCAAGTTCTCCAACACCTACACCAACAAGGTGGACAAGAAGGCCTCCATACCTTATCTCTTGAAGAAAAAGAAAAATGACAAGGTGGTGGCCATCAAGGTGAACAAGCAAGCCAACAATGGGGTCAAACGCTTTTGGGTGCCAAAGGAGATCATTTCCAACATGAAGAGCACCAAGAAGGTTTGGATCCCGAAAGGGAAGTAAGAAGTCCAATGGACTACGGGGAATTTGGAGACTTGGCAAAGTATGGGTGCATTTCATGGGGTGCATCATGATGGACAAAGTCATTGCCAAGTAGGTTAGTGAATACTAAGGACCCAAATTCCCCTTCCCATGTTAGGTAACTAGATGTCATTACTTTCAATTAGCATTTGTTTCAATTGGTATTGTCTTTCAATTGGTATACTCTTAAAGCATCTAGTTATCTTTTATGCCTAATGTTTGCATTTACATGCTTAAATATTTTGTCATGCATTCAATAGGTATATCATATGGTAGGCTTGCTCGGTTTCATTATCAACCCTTGGAGCAAACCTACATGGTTTAAAATTGTTTAGGAGCGCGGCACATAGCTTGTTTTACAATTAACTATCTAATATGTGCCAAAGTCGAAAATGGTAGATAATCTCTCCCAAAATATCATTTTTCAAGTAGTATTTTGATACTTAAATCAATGTGCACAAATTTTACAAGTATTCAACACTTGTGTGCACAAATTTAGGGGTAGCTTAATCTACAACTTGGATGCTTTGGGACTAACACTTTTTCAAATGGTATCAATTTTTTCAAACTTATCTCATGTGTAGTAGTCTCATTGTAAGGAAATTGGAGTCCCCGGAGTTAAGCATCATTCTTTAATTGGCATCATCATGTTGATTTCATTTCATATTTATATGCTTTCTCAATGCATTATATAGATTAAACTCTCTTGTGCAATAAATTGCTAATTATGCATATGCTTTGCTTTCTACCATATGTATGCATACATTTAGGGGGAGCTTAGTCTATATAATGTGAGAGTCAAATTTTGTGATCCATTTCTTTCTATACACAAAGGATCACGAAATTTGACCCTCCCTTGTGCTACTAATGTCTTCCTTTTCGGTGTTTGATGTCAAAGGGGGAGAATTTGAAGGACCAAAGGCAAGCATCAAGTTGATGTCTACAAGTGGTAATGGTCCAAGAAAGGGAGGAAAGTGGATTATGGATTAGACTAAGTAATGATAGATATTTTGAAATTTAAAAACTACCTACTTGCTAGGATGCAATGCAAAAGGACAAGGTTATATGATGCTAGAAAATCCTACTCAGATACCAATCGAAGGCCATCTTGCCCTTACAAAAGTCGGCAAGCATCAAGTTGATGTCTACAAGTGGTAATGGTCCAAGAAAGGGAGGAAAGTGGATTATGGATTAGACTAAGTAATGATAAATTTTGTAGGAATCCATAATGACACATAGGGACTTTTGTAAGGGCAAGATGGCCTTCGATTGGTATCTGAGTAGGATTTTCTAGCATCATATAACCTTGCCCTTTTGCATTGCATCCTAGCAAGTAGGTAGTTTTTAAATTTCAAAATATCTATCATTTGCTTGCTTTGGTCGTGTTGTCATCAATCACCAAAAATGGGGAGATTGTAAGGAAAATGGACCCTAAGCCCATTTACTTTGGATTTTGGTGTTTGATGACCAACACAACCAAATTGGACTAATGAATTTGCAAGTGTTTGCTTTGTAGTCCAATAGGGTGCAAGACGTGACTTGGACGAAGGCGACGTGATGATCCGATGATCAACACCTTAAGCAAGACCTTAGGAGCACAAGAAAAGACCCAAGATATCAAGCAAAGTCCAAGCATGAAGTTAGGAACCAAGCCGTACGCAAGATCATGAAGAAACGAGCTCACAGATGCGACCGGATGCTGGAAGTACGACCGGACGCTGGACCAGTGGCTCGGCAGATAGGCGACCGGACACGAGGACCGGACGCTGGCGGCAACCGACCGGACGTAGGAACGCAGCGTCCGATCGATCACAGTAAGGTTCCAGAGCGGCAAATCTATGACCGGACGCATCCGGTGGCGAAGCACGGGGACGACGGACGTCGTCCGATCGTTGTTTTGCCGGCTCAACGGTCGGGACGAGACGACGGGACGCGTCGGTCGGGGCGATTCAACGTCCGGTCGATGGCGCTTTCACGAAATTCGACCCCAACGGCTACTTTCTCAGTGGGGCTTATAAATACAACCCCCAACCGGCCATTTGATGTGAGTGGAGCTGAGGAAACATACCTAGGGTGTTGATACACCATTTTAGTGATCTCCACTTGCATAGTGCTTAGTGTTTCATCAGGTGATTAGCGTAGGTGCTTTGCGAAGTGCTTAGGTTGATTAGACCACCGCTTATGCGCTTGCTCTAGGTGTATGCCTAGTGTTTAGTGAGGTTTGCATACCTCTTGCCACCCCGTGCTTGCGAGCACAAGAGTTGTACATCGGAGGGGCTTGAAGTCTTGCAAGATCGCACCAACCGCGTTTGTGGTGCGGCCGCCACCGTGTACCAAAGGGAACAAGGCCCATGCGTTTACCAAAAGCTTGATAGTGAAGACGGCGGGGAGCATTCGGGAGAGGCTTGCTGGAAGGCACATCGGAGACCCACTTGCGCGTGGGGAAGGCCCGAGGCTATCCACGGAGTTACCCGACCGGGAGCTTGGCCCTTGCGATGGATTCCTTGCGAGGGGCTCCAACGAGGACTAGGGGGAAGCTTGCGCGCTTCTCGATACCTCGGTAAAAATACCAGAGTCGTCGATGGGAGTTTGCATATCTCTACCTTACTCTTTAAGCTTCCGCATTTACATTGATCATTTTATTATCATTTGCAGTAGAGATAGCAACATACTAGAAAAACCGTAGTTGCACATCTAGATAGATTATCTTTTGCATAGGTTTTGCTAGAGATAGAAAAAGAGGCCATAGTTTGGAGTTAGATTTTTAAGTTGCCTAATTTACCCCCCCCTCCCTCTTAGGCGTCACGGTCCCTACAGTCACCTCGTTGGGAGTCTTGTCTATCTTAGGATCACCCATCCAGACATCTCCCATTCTGTCCATATCTTGAGTCAGTTTGTCCTTGCTCCGACTCAGGTCCATTATGCTCACCTTCTTCGTGTTCTACAATATCCTCATGGCACCTCCTCTCATCGCTTGTTCTTTCCTCGCACTAGCTACCCTCGTCTTCAAGCGTACTCTGATGCCACTTGGGCTAGTGATCACTCCGATCATCGTTCTTTGTCAGCCTATTGTGTTTTCCTTGGCTCTTCCTTAATTGCCTGGAAAACCAAAAAGCATATTCTTGTTTCCCATTCGAGTGCTGAGGCTGAGCTGAGTGTTATGGCGGCTGTCAATGCTGAGGTGACTTGGCTACAGTGGTTACTTGAGGATTTTGGTGTGTCGGCTACTGGACCAACTCCTCTTTTCTTTGACAGCACTGGTGTGATCAGTATTGCATGGGATCCTATGAAGCATGAGCCCACCAAGCATATTGGAGTCGATGCTTCTTACATGAGATCGATAAGGTTGTGTCTCTCCATCATGTGCCTTCAGAGATTCAACTCACAGATTTCTTCACAAAGGCACAAACTCGGGCACACCATAGTTATTTGCTCTCCAAACTCAATGTAGTTGACCCACCATGAGTTTGAAGGGGGGTGTTTGATGTATATATGTGTTGTGTATTTTTCCCACTATTGTAAGGGGTTTTGTGCATATTGTCTGCAGACTTTATCTTCCCCTTTGGGGACTAGAATACAAGCCGACTTGCTATCTTTCTAACAAAGTGTAGAGAGTGATCCCACTAGTCTACCAAGGAGATGAAGTTTGCATGTTGTGCCACATCAAGAGCTGCAATGCTAAAGTGTAGGTTATGCTCTGCTCATTTTGTGTAGTTCTCCTAATAGATTAATTCATTTACCTATGTTCGTCAGCACATGACCATGTTAATAGAAGTAAAGGGTAAGAGTGATATGGTCAAGTTGGCAAATATCCCCAAATAGTTAAGTCTCTCTTAGCATCATGTTTAAAACCAGTGTGATAATATCTAAATATAATTAAAGAATTCTTTTTAAAAAAGATATTTCTAAAACTAGTGATCTTAAATTATAACTTGCCAACGACACTTTAGAAAATATAAAAGTATCTCACGGTATAATATGAAAATGTTGAGGAACTAAAATCCAAAAGATTTATATTTCATAGACAACATAGAGGAAGAATGTCCAAATTGGAAAAAGGATCATGTACCTTCTTAAGATCAACCCACTCCCAGGTCTCATTTGATGTATTCATGTCATGTACCAGCGCGTAAAGGCCCTTCAAGGAAATTCCTAAGAAAGAGTCCACTTTAACTAAAAGTAAATGCAACTATGGTGAGACAGAAACAATGTTTTTGAGGCGTCGCCTAGTCGTCGCCTAGGCGTCGCCTAGGCGACAAGGCGTGGTCGAGGGCCTGGGCGTCGGGATCGCCACGACCTCAGCGTGTATGGCGTCCGCCTCATAGGATTAGGCGTCGCCTAGGCGCGAATGGCGTCGGGCGAACGCCTACAACCGCGCCGCGGACGCCGGATGCCGGTCGTAGGGGAAGGGCGCCAAAAGGAGTGCGGCCCCGCGGGAAATCGACCGTGCGCCCGCGGGAAAAGTAAGAGGCGCGGGAAATCGACCGCGCATCCGCCCAAATAGCCTCTTCGCATGGGAAATCTACCGCGCGAGTCATTTACCGCGAGTGTGGGCGAGGGGAGAGGAAGAGAGAAGGCAGCGGACGGACCTTTACCTCCGCGGGGCTGCTACTCTGCTCGTGTCCACCGGCCGGCCGCCCCTGCTGCGGAGCCAGCCCTGCATCTCCGCTTGACCATCTGCCCCTGCCGTGGAGCCGCTCCAGCATCATCGCACATCGCTGTTGCGGTCACCACCTGATCGTGTGACTCTGCCTCGAGTCTTCCTCCATCGGCCCGCTAGTTGACTGCGCCTCCATCGGGTACTTCCCCTTCCGCCTGGTATGCCGCCCACCTCCACTCTGCTATTCCGCCTGGTATGCCTCCCCACCGCCTCCACTCTGCTTTTCCAAATCTCGTGTACTCTGCTGTCTGCTCTGCTTGTACTGCTGCTCTGAAGTCTGAATATTGTATACTATCTGCTCTGCCTCCTCGTGCTCTGCTCTGAATCTGGATATTGTATACTCTCTGCTATGCTATGCTATGCTCTGCCTAGGCTCAAGAATGGGCAACAAACAAGGTATGTATGTGCTGCACTAGTATATAAAATTCTAGCTTACAACGCCTTACAATGTGTGTATGGCGTCGCCTAGGCGTCCGCCACAAACGCCTAGGCGTTGTGAAGGGGGTCGGGCACCGCGCCTCGCCGCGGCGCCTCAAAAACATTGGACAGAAACACACCGTTTCTTGATTGTAATCAGATATAACTACTTCATAGAAATTATTATCATCAGGCCAACGATTCATGGCTTTACGACCAATTAATGGGCTGACATTCTGTGCTTGAGAAAGTTCAGCAGCAGGACAACCAGGAAAATATCTATTCAAATGTGGTCTTCTTGCACTAAGACCTTCTGGAGATGGCATGGACTTCACTGCAGAGCCCCCAGGTACCTTCTGGCCCTAGAAGGACATATGATTCTGTAAAAGAATCAAATAGAAAGATTTCTTTTGGAAACAAGTTGTCTAAATAAATCAGCATACCGTTTTTAGCCTTTTGCCTTTAGGTCCCAGTGGAACTTCCTTCGTAGCTGTTGAAGATGATGGGTGTGTTGGTGCAGCCACCTGCTGTGAATGCATCAGAGGAGATGGCGCAGGTGAAGCAGTGAGGGGTTGAGATGTCTTTTGCCTCTTGCGGGCAGAGGTAGTATGAATGGACAAAGGATCATATACTGGCTTAGGATTATTAGGCGCCCTTGCATCAAATCTTCCTTTTGATCTCCATTCGCTTAATTTCAAGGCAGAAATTCAGAATGCTGGAAAGAAGACAAATTTGTGGATAGGCATCGATGAAGTAAAGGGGATATTATTATGCTACCTTATGCCATCCTGTTAAATATCTGCCTATGTTCTTCGTCAGATACCCTTAGCTCCTCCCTAAGTTCTGTTATGAGACCTTCTTTCTCCTGAAAAATTGTAAAGTTAACCTCAGGTCAATTTTGAGGTGGGGGGTGAGGAATCTAACATCATCACCAAAACTAAATGTGTTGAAATAGTTTAATGGTCCCAACCCATGTAATGGTATCAGATTGTGCTTTAAATGCACGAAGAACCGAACAATATGCTTCTTGCTCAAGCTGATGAATTTGTGCTTCCATAGCTGTCTGTGCCGTATCATATGAACTAGTAGGAGTAATTGCTCTTCCATTACCCTCAGTGCCCCTCATATCTGAACTGTTCAAGTTTGGTGGTGGAAGATCATCATCGATTCCTGCAACCAGGACAAAATGAGAAACCTCAACAATTTACCGACTATATCTGCTCTAGAAAAGAACTATCAATGCTACTAGGAGAGCAGATGAAATAGTTCAGTGATCTATCTTATGAGGTAATAAATAAACAGAAACACCAACACACACTTCAATGATGAAAGAAGGTATAGTTATTTAGTTCATAATGAGCATATTTTATCAATTACCTAGAGTAATCTTCATTATTAATCAAAACGCGACAATAAAAATGTTTGTGACCATGTCTAAGCACATTTTTCATTAAGAGGAAGAGAAAGTTATAACAAACAATACTAGTAAGCCTAGGGTTACCAAGACCAACACGATCCTTGCAAGACTAGTCTCACAAGGATCACTAACGAAGTTCACAATTGGGTACTTATGTGAAAACAATCGGTGACCAAACGCTGCTGAGCACTAAGAAACTAGTAAAGCAACACGACCCTCAACTAAAAGCTCCACTCCTAACTCCTAAGAAGCAAAGACTACCACGTAGCCCACCAATTGAAGCGAGCTCAAGGAATGCAGTAATCACATCCTCATGACCATGGTGTTTCAGGACTGCTTGACGACACCGACAGTCGACGGCACGAACTCATCTAGAAACAAAATTTCTTGTACAGCTTATAATCCTTTTTTCTCCAACAAAAGCCCACATAAAACACATAAAAGTGTTGCACCCCAACATTGTTTTCATATACCCCTCTGATGGGTACAAGCCCTAGCATCCCGAAAAATTCAGACTAATACTAACACATAAAACACCAACTGCTTTCTGTCAGAACATCCACCAATATTAATTGTACACAGAATTATCTTATCCATCAGATCAACTTTGTCAAATGACTCAGGAGGATTCAGTGTTCTGTCTTCCTCCAATGATCAATTGCCCTAGTACCAGTTACTAGTCAAAGACAGAAACAGGGTACATTCTTATACCAAATACCTGACCTATTAAAGCAGGCCTAAGAAAATCTTGAAAGTTTATTCAGTTTTTAATGTTAGGCACAGCTAATACTGCACATAGGCCAACTCCACAATGTTAAAAAAGGAAAGAATATGAAATCCTCAAGAAAAAAAAACTCAATAGTTAAAACCTGTGCACCTAGTGAATAATTGCAAAGACCAAACGACTTGGACAAGATTGATGGCAAAATCTTGAAAAAGAAAAGGCAATCATTCTTGTGATCTTATAATATTTGTACCAACACCAAAATCGAAGAGCGGGCCTGGTGCAAGCGGTAAAGTCTTACCGTCTGTGACCGGAAGGTCCCGGGTTCGAGTCGCGGTCTCCTCACATCGCACAGGCGAGGGTAAGGCTTGCCACCGACACCCTTCCCTAGACCCCGCACACTGTGCACTGGGTACGCCCTTTTTTGGCTAAGAAATCATAAAGCTGTGCACACTGTATAAGCCAAGAATGAAAGATAAAGCTTAGCAGCAACAACCAAGAGAATTTCCAACAATGTACGAACAAGCAGCAAGATCACAACCTGCCAATAGTTACATATCAAGGTTCTACCTATGCAATAAACAATGCTAACCACTGGACAAATATGCAGTAGTATGAATGCGTGATCTGGTACCATTAATTGGTCTCCCGCTAAAAGCAGAACTAGCTCAGCAAATATTTCTGACCTGGGACATTGGCAAATGTAGTGGTGTCTGAAGCATCTTATATCATGTAGAAACAAACTCATGGATTTCACATATAAGTGCACAGTCAATGTTTGAAGTACCGATCAGAAAGTTGTTATTTTTCACCTTCCACATTTGGCACAACCCAGAAGCTCATGATTTAAAGCAATCAGTAAGGTCACAAGAACGTGCCATCGTTATAAAATGAAGGTGCTACGGCTACCTACACAACAAACCAGCTTACCCCTGTACAAGTACGCAGTACCATCAACTTGTGGACTTGCAACACTTGCTGATTCCCCACCATAAGTGGAACCAGGCAAATTTGCTGGGCAAACATTTCTGCTCTGGGACATCAGCATCTCCAACTCCAATGGCGTCTGAACCATCTTGTGTACTGTGGAAAGATGAAATGTGCCCATTTTTTATTTCACATGTAAGTGTGCAGTTAATAGTTAAAATAATATCATAGTTTTCCGAAAGATCACAGAAGAGAAGAGTTCAGCACTAATTATCAAAATGAAGGTGCTACCTATCCAACTCATGCTTACCGTCAGATGGCTGCGCAATACCATGAACTTGTGAATTTGTAACCTTATTCAGTTCCCCAGCATAAGTGGAATCAGGCAAATTTGGTGGGTGGACTTTTCTGCTTCGGGACATCAGCAGCTCCAGTGACGTCCGCATCATCTTGTATACTGTGGAAACACAACAATGGATGTCACATGATGCACAGGATAAACATTTAAGGGCACCGATCAGAATGATGTTGTTTTTCACCTTCTGGGTTTGCAACAAGCCAGGAATGGGCACCTCTCGAATCGACTATGTTCTTTGCAGTACGAGCATTGTATCTGCAATTCAGTTCAGATGGCTCTGCACTCCCTTGCATTTCCAAACGCTTTATGTGAGGCCTGTGTTGGTTCCCCATTACATTAGCTGCAAGCTGTGCTTCAGAATCTGCAGTGTGCATTCGGCAGCCATCATCACCACGTTTGTAACTTCCAACTGAAGTTAAAAAAAAACAGAGAGGCGTGCAGAGCAGAAGTTGTTTTGGCAACCATATACATAACACCTGCATTAAGGATATTGATCGAGGTTCATCAGCATCAAGGCACATTTACCTTGTGGACGCGGTGAGTAACTGTAGTTCACATGCTGATGCTGGCCACTTCGATTGGTAATATCTGACAGAGCAGCCCTATCATAGGGCCTTCCGAATGCTGACATTTGCAAATGCTTGTGACTTGTGAGACAAAAATCACTTGATCCTACAAGTGACCAAAGGACAGAGTTATGTACATATGTGAAGCAAAATTCACTTGTTCCTGCAAGTTGCCCAAGGGCAAACTTATGTTTCACTGTTTCGGCACAAACTTGCTTGAGTGTTACCCGGCTACATTTGGAACACGACCAAAACAACCGAGAAACTGGAAGAATAAATTTCAGGTCACTAGTAAATTGTCGTCATCAAAAGGCGAGAAGTTATTGTTGGTGTTGTTCACATTAGTCCTAAGTGGTTATCTAATGTATTAGTCCCGCAATTATTTGAATGGATCATAATGGAGGCGTAATAAAAAATAGGGAATATGGCGTTTCTACCCCTACTCTAGGGTCCAATGATGATTTTACCCTTCTTTTTTTAACTTTGTGATTTTACCCTTACGATTTTGAAATGAACAAGCCGTTTACCCCTACTTTGCGCCGGTGTTAAATATTGAGGAATTAAATGGCGAAAAAATTAGAAAAAGAAAAGCAACCCACATGAAAAGACCACACTGCCCCCATCTTATCCCTTCTCCCATTAGAGGCAGACTCGCTCACTTTTCCCCAATCGAGCAAACCCTAATCGGGCAGCAGGGCGTCGCGCGCAGGCAGCAGAGCACGAGTGGCGGCTGCGCAAGGCACGGGCGTTGGGTGCGCCAGCCACGAACCTCGGGCACTGCGAACACGGCGGCCGCGCAAGGCCGGGTGTCGGGCGCGCAGGGCCAGGTGTCGAACACGTCGGCCGCGCAGAGCACAGGCGTCGGGCGCGCCGGCCGCGCAGGGCACGGGCGTCGGGCGAGCCTGCCGCGGGCCCCTGGATGGAATTGGCCCGTCGCAGCCTCTAGAGTTTCCCCAAGCTCGCTGAGGGGCTGTCCTCCGTGCGTCGGTGTTGGTCTGCGCCGACGCTGGTGCTTGTCCACAGCTGAGGTCGGCCCTGACCGGAATCAACCTGTCGCGCGGTGCTGGCCATCTTCCCCGAGATCACAGAGGCGCCATCCATCCATCCATTTGTGTGCTTGCGTCCGAACTAGGATTGTGCACCGTCCGTCCATGCATCTGGGCTTGCGTCCATCCTTCTGGTGTGCTTGCAGTCGTCTGTTCTAAGTATCAATAGACTAGGGTGGTGGTTAAAAATTGGATCGGGATGAGCGTGATGAATAGGTGGCGCTGCCCTCACTGCGATTTTTAACTGAATTTTTTGGTGCATTCGGATCTATGTTTTGTTGAGTTTTGAATTTGAATTTAAATTTTAAATTATGAATTTAAAATAATGTTGAATCGTGTATGTGGTTGAATTCTAAAGTTTAGATTTAGAATTTGTTGTGTGATATTAATGCAATATGTGTGATATTAATGTCTGTGTCATAATAGGTGTAAAAGCACAAATATTAAATTAAAATAGAGGCAAAAACACATGGGCAAAGTTGTACTTTGGTCCAAAACTTAACACCGTTAGAGGGGGTCTACCTTCGTTTAGAAATCGCAGGGGTAAAATCACAAAGTTAAAAAAAACGGATGCAAAATCACAATTTCGCTTTAAAACAGGGGTAGAAACGTTAAGCCCCTAAAAAATAATATAACTAGTGGGAATACATTAGTCTACTGATTTACTGACGTAACCGTAGAACTGGCATGAAAACTCACAAGTTCTGGAGCCCAGCAGTGGCGCGGCAACATTAGTGGCTGAAATTCGCTGGACCGGGCGGGGATTGGCGAAATTGCCGTCGATCAGTTAGGGTTAGGGCACTGGGCACCGTTGGTGGCGTCGAGTGTGGCGCGCCTGAGATAAATGCTGACAAGCGTCGTGGTGGATCGGACTACGGAGAGAGGGAAATGGCGAGGCGGCTGAACTGAGGAGCGAGGAGAGACCGCCGTCGGCGAGGGCAATGCTCAGGCGCCAAGCAGAGCGCGGTGGCCTCCGAGAGCAAGAGGGAGAGAGAGAGGAGTGATCGAGGGAAGGAACTGCGCACGATGCATGTGCCCTTCAAAACCGCAGTTGGCAGTTGAGGATAAACACTGAGGGCACGCCGCGCCACGCGCTCACGCCCGTTTTGATTTTTGATATTTGAAATTCAAACTCCACTTTTCCTTTTCCTCATTTATGCATCCGGTTAATGCAGCGGTAAATATGTCCCCTTTTGACCCGCTGGCTGGAACGTTTTGGCATTTCTCCAGCTGCCTCTGAACCTAAACTCTACTCCGATGACCGTCAAAAGTAAGGGGAATTTCAAGTGTGTAATTTAAAAAGATCGTAATGCCTTGTGTGCGTCTGAAAAAATTCAGCGGTCTTTAGCGTCATTGCTTTAACTTTTTTGTGTCCTTCATGTCACTGCCGTCGATTTGGGCTCTAACACCATCAAACTGTAGGTGTGAAAAGTCAAAAATAGCCTTATGTTTAAATATGTCATTAATTTTTTTGAGCATCTTAACGACTTCAAATGAAAAAACTCAAAACTAGAAAGTTGTAGGTCTCGTCGAGATCTATAATTTTTATATAAAAATTATTTTTATTTAATTCTGTAAAAAAAAGATAGGATTTTTCTAAGATATATTAATCATATCAAATCATATTTTTTTGCGGAATTAAATAAAGATAATTTTTATATAATAATTATAGATCTCGACGAGATCTACAATTTTCTAGTTTTGAGTTTTTTCAATTGAAGTCGTTAAGATGCTCAAAAAAATTAATGACATATTTAAACATAAGGGTATTTTCGACTTTTCACACCTGCAGTTTGACGGCGTTAGGGCCCAAACTGACGGCAGTGGCATGGAGGGCACAAAAAAGTTGGAGCTGTGGCGCTGAAGACCGCTGAACTTTTCCAGGGACAGACAAAGCATTGCGATCTTTTTTAATGGCACACAAGGAATTCCTCCCAAAAATAAAGGTGAGTTAGCTCTGGTTTAGTTTCCTACCTAAAACTTTGTATCATGTCACATCGAATGTTTTTGACATATGCATAAAGTATTAAATATAGACTAAAAATAACTAATTACATAGTTTACGACTAATTTGCGAGACGAATCTTTTAAGCCTTATTAGTCCATAATTTGACAATAAAGTGCTACAGTACATATGTGCTAATGACGAATTAATTAGACTTAATACATTTGTCTCGTGGTTTACTGACGGATTCTATAATTTGTTTTTTTATTAGTATCCGAACACCCCATGCGACACCCCCATATAACATCCAATGTGACACCCAAAACTTATTCTCCTCTGTCTCTGCCTGTACACCTAGCTAGCTCCAGTGCTTCACCGGAGTTTCTCGGTGAGTGCAAGATGATCTAACCGATCCCTTTTTTTATGGCAAAGACTGTAGGGGAGGTCCCTACAGTGTGAAAACATTTTATAAAAATAAAAATGGGGAGCAGTTACTTACAAAACAAAATTAACTAAAAGCATCTGACCAGAAGCAAAAGGATGACCTAAGGTCCTCCTTGAATCTAACAGATTGAAGTATACATTCATTCTTAAAATTACAGAGCCAAATGGATCTACTTGGCTGTCTCCTCTAGAAGATCTGGTCATTCCTTAGCTTCCATAGTTCCCAGGCTGCAATTAGAGTGGCTTCTATGAAAAAACCCAGATTGTGAACTTGACTTGCCGTGCTGAATCTGTCCATGAGATCAATGGACATGCCCCAGTTAATATGCATTGATTGCCAACAGTCCAAAGCAAAGGGACAGGTGAAGAACAGATGCTCGATGGTTTCTTCCTCTCCTGAGCCACACATCATCTAACCGATCCCTTTGTCCACTGCTCTATACTTTCCTTGTGGCCGGGAAAGTAAATGTGAATAGAGAGGTTTCTTAAGCTCTAATGAGTGTAGATGTTAGTTTAGGGTGCTAAGAGAGCTTACTTTCCTGGTCACACACTATATTTATAGGCCCACTTAAGAAACTAGCCATTACATCTTTCATGGACAGTCTGGAAAGGTCATCGGAGACCTCCCGTGGTAGCATGGAGTGTACCAACAGAGCTTCCCAACGATAACTTTCCATCAGCTCTCAAAGCTAGTCATTAGAACTCCGATCTGCTCTCAGGTGCACCATTAGAGAGCTCCGGTGCTCTATGGAGCCAGCTGGGAGTCACTCTCCGATGCATCACCAGAGAGCTCTGGCGAGCTCTTTTGAATTACACGCTCCTAATTGTCACTATACTTAATCTCCAGTGCTCACAACTCCGGTGGCACCAGAAGATAAGGTGCTCACACTAAAAACGTGGGTTAAGAAACGCTCCAGTGAATGTAAAAACGCTCCACTGAGCTTTTCTCTTAAACCTTTTTCAAGCAGCTAACTTCAATAGGTCTTCCATGGGACTACCATCAACTTTAGCACTAAGTTAACATTTTCAAAATATTTTTCAAAGGTTTTCACTTGCACCTGGCCACGCCACTCAATCTAATACAAATATATTGTTAGATCTCACCTAATGGCACTAGATAATCGTATTAACCAAAGATTTTACTCTATTTATAGCACGACTATCTATCCTAAACTTGGCCAATTCACTTCTCCAATCACCTTAGGCCGACGAGAACAAACCCTATGATATACCTTTCCCTTGGGTTTTTCTTTCATCTCCATCTGTTGGGTTCATAAAATCGGGGTCCCCAATGGACCTGCTTCCCTACAAAACTCGGCCCAGCAGGAGGCGCAACGATAGCACATGTCTGGGCCGGCCCAGATACACAATAACAGGCCAAGACCATGATCTGGTCCTCGATTGGATCCTCCGACCAGGGCCTCCCCGAATGGGCCACGACCCGTCATAGATAAGGGGGATACGAAGTTGAAGACGCTCCTACGGTCCGTCTAGGCCCAGGAGTTCGAAGGTTGGCCCATCAATGGCTTCGACAACTGCTCCGGGCACCTTTAGAGTGAGGGGTGGAAAGGCCCAACCTCTAGGGGCGGGCCCCACACTCGTCTGACCTCTGGGTCGGGGCTCCGCCTCGCCCGCCCTCTAGGGCGGGCCCCGCACTCGTCTGGCCTCTGGGTCGGGGGCTCCGCCTCGCCCGACCTCTGGGTGAGCCCTGACCAGAAGGCCAGGCCATGGTGGAACCGCAGTCCGACTCTGACCCTTTTTCTTCGATCGAGGATACATCAGACCTCTGCTCACTGCTCTTTCCCTACCGACACGGTTGGGGCCAACTGGGAGCAACCGACCGGGGACGCCCGCTCGGTGTGGACCCAGTGAGCTGGTGGAGCAGATAAGATAAGACGCTCAAGTCAACCGCAATACCGAAGACCGTACCCTACCATGCCCTGTGCACCTGCAGGACGGTGCCATCGGGGCATGACAGGCGAACACAGTAGAGCCTGCCACACACGTTAGAGCATAAACAGTTTTGTGGGTGCCGTCGTTTGTCGTACTAGGCAAACACGGTAGAGCCTGCTAGACGTGTTTGGGCATAAACAGTATTGTGGGCATTGGCAGCCATCCCATACCCCATGGCGTGAGCAACAAAACTAGGCAGCACACGTATACACTTTCTCTCTTTCTCGCTAACTTGTAAGGCCATCCCTTTCAACTATAAAAGGGCATGCACTCTCTCCCAACAAAGGGGCACGAGACAACTCGAGGACTCGACGACCTGAGGACTCAAACAGCTCAATAGCTCTAGAACTCTACAGCTACACAGAGCATACGCTCCAATACTTAGCGCACGTTAGCGCACCTGTCACTCTCTTCCATTCGGTTTAGAGTTCCACCGGGCCCTTAACACCCCCTTCTCATTCCTTACTCATTTATAACCCCACAGCAAACTTTGAGCACCTGGGCTCAGGAATAAAGTCGTCGACCTTATTGAAACTGGACGTTGGGCCTATTGCCTAAACCAGTATAAATCCTATGTCATTGAGTGCTAGGCCACATCCGATCATAACGCATGGCAAAACTATAAATATTTACTTGTTGGCCACATTTGGCACCGATAGTTGGCGCCATCCATGGGGAGGACA